TTTGCCAGATCCCGCCGCTGGGCTCAACGGTGCCTTTGACCAGCTTGTCAAGATGAAGGCTGCGCCCGCAGGGCGGCCGGATTTGGTGTCGATGACAATGTCAATGGGCGGAGGGCCAAAAGGTCCAAGTGGCAGCATACGTGGGCGCAAGCAAAGATCTACAGATGGGATCGCTGACTGGCCAGATTACTTCCTAGATGAGTTCGCAGATGTTCACGGGAAGAATCTCGAGTGGTTTTCAGAAGAGAAGAAGGCACTGCCTAGCTCAAAGGGGAAGTCACAAAGAGAGCGCAATGAGCGCCGCAAGGCCAAGCAGCGTGCCAGTGCGTCCTCCGAGGTGGGAGGCCGGGAGTCCACTGAGCCTCCAGCACGGGAGCTCACTCACAATGATGAGCTTTACATTTGGCTGATCGATGCCTATCGGATGCGGTGTCATGACGATTTACAGTGGCGAGGCGGCATCCGCCGCGGCATCTACGAGCAGATGACCCGTGTCGAGAGCACCCGTTGGACGAAACAGGAGTGGTTTCGAAGAAGGCATTGTCCGATTTGGAGCATATGGCCGTGAACGGCGTCCAGTTTGTTGTTGAGCGAGAGACGGATGCTGTGACTGCCTTCCCTACAGCATTGTCAGTTGCACAGGATTCTTTCGTTTACTGCAAGCTTGTCGAGCAACGTGAGAAGTATCCGCCGGTGTTCGACTTTGAAAGGCTGCTTTCGCTCGCAAGGAAGCTGCTCCCAAAGCGATTCCAAAAGGACCACGCCAAGTTCAAGTACGGCGATGAGAACGCGATGACTGCTGACAGGCCTTCTTTAAGACGCTTCGCAGAAAGCATCTACGGCACCACCATCCAGCAGATGCACGAGAAGGATGCGGCCTCACCCGGAGGGCCTGACACAGGCCGCTGGTTTCACCCACAACCCCACGAGTACAATGCGGCGCACCGATACCCGCCGGACGTCTGCCGCCTCTGGGAATCTGTCGAGCGCTTCTTCGAGGCCGGCGTCGCAGGATCCGTGGAGAGCCGCGAGAGCTCGCCTGCTCGGCGCACCTTCTTGGACAACGTGGAGCTGCTTTTCGCAGATGTCGGCGGCATCCAACTTTGGCGTGAACTGGTCGAGTCGTTGGACCTGGTCGGAGACAACTTCGGGCTTCCACATGTCTCGCACTTGGACCAGCACGTTCCTCCAGGCTCGACGGTAGTGGTGAAATCTCTGCGCGGTGTGCAGCCGATTCCTCCAAACTATTGTCGACCAGTGGACCTGAATGGTGCCTTAGGCGCACTGCGGAAAGTGGTGCCTGGAAGCAATGGCGGCGAGATCCGCTTCCAAGTCGTGATCGGCGATGGCACGGAAGTGGCTCTCAAGTCCCAGAAGCTGGAGTTGAACATCGAGAAGAAAGGCGAGATGAGCGCTTATGCGAAGATGATGCTCAACACAGCAGGCCGGGGCGAGCTGGCAGCAGACATCGGTGGCTACTCCTCGCTCTCCGAGTCAGAGGAGGAAGGAAGCGCAGCCTCGCGTCCGAGCGCAAGATCGGCCGCCTTTCGTCGGCAGCGAGGTCTCGAAAACATCGGAGAGGCCAGGCGCCTGGAGGAGGGCGGGCGCCACGCAGCGAGGAATCGCATGTATGATTTTGCTGATGCAAAAGATCCCGATCGCGAGCTGCTGGGGAGCATGGTCACCCTGAGAGGTCTGGTCAACAACAGGGACTTGAATGGGCGCAGAGGCAGGGTGACCGCAAAGAAGGGGGAAGGGGAGGGCCGGGAGGGCGACGAGGCGCGCTTCGTCGTGGAGCTCGACGGGGAGTGCAAGGAGCAGAAGGTGGTGAAGCGCCGCCACCTGCAGTTTGTGGACGCGCGGGAGGCATGGGAGCACGAGCATGCGGCTTCAAGCAGCAGTGCGAAAGGACGGGGAAAGGGTGCGCAGCCGCCTTCTCGGAGTGATGCAGCTGAGCCAAAGCCCGGCATCGGCAAAGAGACGAGTGAAGCGAAGCGAAAGCCAAAGGCGAAGGCCCAGGTGAAAGCCGCGCCCAAAGCAACGGAGCCGGACTGGAAGAAGGTCTTTCCAGCAGAGGACTCCATTCGACTGCGCGACTTGCTGCAGGAGGAGGTCAGCATGGGATCTGGCAGCCGTATTTCAGCCAGGAAGCTAGAAGAGCTCTTGCGTGAGAGGCATTCAGCGCTGCTGGACGTGGCGAAGCGGTACGTAGATGCTGTGTTCAGAAGCCGTAGCAAGAAGCAGGCGAAGCTGGATCGGCATCAGGGCTTGACAGGCCGCACACACTGGCTGGGGCGCTTCGCAGTGCTTGAAAAGCTGGAAAGCGACTTCCGCTTCGACTTCCAAGCCAACGCATTCTGCCGCGGGCACGGCGACGACGGCGCCGACGAGGGTGTCGAGGGCGAGGGCGACGATGAGGGCGACGAGGCCGAAGAGCCTGAGCCGGGCAGCGGAGCTGAGGAGGTCGAGGCAGAGATCCCGAGATGCGAGTCTTTCACTCCGATTCCCGAGCCTCCCCCTGTCTCGGAGCCTGGACAGACAGAGGAGGACGTGCCGGAAGAAGGTGATGCCGCGAAAGCCCCGCCAGAACTGCCAGAGGAGCAGAAGTCTGCTGAGCCCGAGGTGTTCGAGCCTGCGCCGGAGCGCGCGGTGCATCGATTCTACGGTTTTGAGGCTGGAAGTATTTTCTTCATTCCTCCCTGTGAGCTCTACTTCACCCAAGACTCCATCAAGTCTGGTTTTAAAGATAACGGTAGTTTTGGCCACAGCTCCGGCTACAGCTCCAGTGACTCACCGGGACCAGCCAGGGACTCTGTGAAGACAAGCTCGGTGCGCGAGATGTTTGATGCAATCCTAGAACGACGAATGCTGAAGCGGGAGGTTGAAATGATGGATGTCGTCTTCCACGAAGGATATTACTACAGCATCTGCAACCGGCGACTGGCCGTCTACTTGTTGCTGTGGCTTTGCGGCCGATGCCCGCGCTTGAAGGTACAGCTTGTGAGCAAAACAGACCGGAAAATGCACTGGGATCGCCGTTTCACCACTGAGTGTGACGGAGATTGGATTCTAATTCGCCAGACGGGGGAGGCGATCGGCCGGCGATTTCAGGACACCACCTTCAAGCATCCGGAATTAACCAGGGCATTAAGCAGAGCTGGAGGCCAGGCCAGGAAGTGAAGTGTGTCTGCACTACTGGATTTGAGTCACTTTCATGACAGCCAGCAGCTTGCAGCCATGAACTTCATTCGAAAAGTGCCTCCTGCATCTACGTGCAAACCAGGGTCGACAAGGCTTGTCGTGTCTTTCGTGCCGAAACGTGCGAGGCCACCCCAAACGAAGCAGACACTCTTGAGTGCATGATTTGTTGAATCATACGTGAGGCCTTGAGGCTAGCTTATGAAGGCGCTTTCGTCACGGATGGCATTGACGTGGTTTGCAGTTGTGTGTGAACTGCTTCCGCAGGACAGTCGACTTTAGCAAGCTGTGACTAAGCTATTTGCGTGATCGTGGTTGTTTGTTTTGGTGGCTTCCTGCTTGCCGTAGAGCTTGTACACGAATTGAATTGGCCAGCTCCTCCTCCTTTGCCTTCGCATACGGTAATCCATCCAGTTCCAGTTCGAACCACCGGAGCTTCGGTTTGGATGTCGAGCTGGTTCGGTGAATCTGAGGTTGTTGCAGGCGGGCTTTGCACCGGGTGTGGCCCGTTTCGCACAGCTCTGACACAGGAGCTGACGGAGGCAGAAGCCACCTGTGGGCTGACGCCGTGCTTCTATGGCTGTGTGAAAGGCCCAGTTCCGGAGTAGTGTAGCTCAGCATCCTCAGCATCTTGGTTGTCGGAAGCCCGCCGCTCCTAGTCCGATATGAATTGACGTGTGAACTTCTGCCGAGGGACAACCACGACAGGTTTATTCGCTGGACTCGCGGCCTTCGAAGGAGGTGGTGCAGGTGTCACTGTCCATTTGCTTCTGGAAAATGTTGAAAATTCAGTTTCTAGCCTAGCTGCAAGTATGTCACAACTGGTTCACCATGAGACATGCCGGGAAAAGTATGTCAACTGCAAGTTGTTGTGACGAAGCTTGGCGCCTGCACCTGCTCGGTGCGTGATTTGTCGTTCGCACCTGTTTGCTGCAGCCATCTCGAAGCTCTCGAGGAAGTTTGCTAGCCCTTTGCTGGCTGGTGCCATTGCTCTTAAGATGGCATCTCGGCTGATCATTGCCAGGGATGGTCCGTGAGCCCAGCATGCTGGAGTCTGTGCGCATGAGCTGTAACCAAGGCCATGCAATGGGCAGCCCTGAAGATCCTGATCCTCTCCCAATGCTCTCTGGCGACCACGACCACACAGACTCAGACCCTGACGACCTCAACTGCGACTATGACGGTTTCCACGACATCGTCCGTGACGATTTCCATGACTCCCACAACCACGGCCACTACGACTTTGACTCTTCCGAAGTACGACGTCGTGGGTTGTGATTTTGAAACCGACACTTGCGGATGGGTAGACAAAAATCAGGCAGGGTAACAGAGTGGAGAGCAGTGGAGCAGCACTTCCTGAGGCATGTCTCTTGGGAAATCGGTAGCATGCCGAGCTATTGCTTGCCGGTTGAAGCAGTGGGTGCTACTGTGTCATTCGGGGCACGTTCGATTCGTATTTTCAGTGCATCTTCGGGAGGCTTGGACGCGGAAAGCTGGCGCACAAAATGGCACGGGGCCATCTGCTTTCGATGGCAGCTACTCTCTGCACCTGGATGTTGGCGGCCTCAGCAGAAATGGATGCAGGGTTGGTTGTCTTGAGTCTCGAGGTGTGAAGGTAGGTGTGTATGCTTATATATACATATACACACAAAAACACACGTAGAGACACATGTATATGTGGAGTGTGCGCGCACTGTGTCCACGTAGCTGCGCAGGCTCGCGACCTGAATGGGTCAGCCGAACTGGTATAGCTGAAATGCGAAAGTCTAGATTCGGGTGAGGTGCGCTTGAGATCCGGGACAATGATTGCATTGCAAGGCCTGGCTCACAGCGGCTTGGCTTAGAGAGGTCCTCGAAAGGATGTGGGAGGGACTGGGTATCCTTTGCGTAGTTCAATTCCCTTCTAAGGTCGCTTCTTGCGCATGAACACTTCGATGATCGACGCCTCAAGACCCGCGGACCAGATCTTCTTTGAGGCCACGCCTTAATTCTCAACTCTCACCCTGACGGCACGCATGCGTAGGCCGCGGCCGTGGCATCGGCATTGACACCAGCCATGCTAGTTGCAACTTTCTGATTAGTACACCATGAGCAGCACCACCCCAAGGACTTCGCCTGGGCGCTCTTCACTGTAGTTGACGCCGACAGCGGGGAGATCGCGCTGCACAACACCTTCCACAACCGCTTCGTGCGCATGAGCAGCGCGGGGATGGACACAAGCGACTTCAGGGTCTCTATGCTTCAAAGCTCGTACCGTAAACCTCAAGCTGAGGACAAAGTCACTACATCGCACGGGTAGGAACCCTTGTGGTTTTGATTGAGATGGACAGGCTTGACAACCGGCAACCTTTCATATGTGGCTGAGGACTTGCTGAACCAGAACGGCCTGACAAGCACCGGAAAACCCGAGAACGCGTTGACAATTTTCAACGCCTTTTCAAGCCAAGCCTCAAGACCACAACTTCCTAATTTGAATCGCTTGTTGAAACTTAAGCCGAAAATCCTACAGTCCGTAAACCCTCCATCCTAAACCTCAGCCCAGCCTTGCAAGGCCTTGCCCCCCAGGCTGCAGATGAGCTTCCCGCAGACTCGATGGGGGAGCGATTCGCTGTGGTTGATATTGAGGGTGGGTCCATCGCTTTGCACAGCGGCGTCCACAACCGCGTCTTGGCAGTTCGATATTGTGTGGACGTGCTGGTATGTTGTTCGACAACACAGAGAGTAGAGAGTTGCAACATACCCGTCTTGGCTGGCAAGTCCTGCGAGGTCTTTTCGTTTGTTTCCCGGTTGCTGCACAGAATTTTGCGATACCCCACGTCATAATCAGGCTAGCCACTACACGAAAAGAGCTACTGACGGGGTTCGAGATAACAACATCCCAAGCACCTCTTCGCCCGAAGCTTGGCGACCCGGCGTGAGCATGGCTTCAATCCAGAGTTCGCAGTTGGCTGCCAACTTAAGGACAGACTAAGCCTTAATCTCTATGAGCGAGGTGATTTCAAAAAAATTGCCGAACCCGAAAGCCACAGACCGCAGCCTTGATCCACAAGCTCTGTACAACCCTGAACAACCTTCAGCCCAAGATCAGTACCGAGGCTTCGTCTCCTTGTCGGATGACGGGATGGTGGGCGCGAGTGAAGCAAAGAACCTTGCTGGTGCTTACGGGTGTGTGGGGGAGTGTATCCTTACAGTAGTCCCATTATAATTCCTTAATAGTAATTATTATAATCCCTTAATGCTAGTTTCTACATGCCTTCTTCCAGTCAGGAACGCATCAGAGCTGCCGTCGGCCTTTGAGCGCTTCCGTGTGGTGCAGGTAGGGGGGCGGGGGTGTCCGCGGAGTTGGGTCCCCCTATGTATGCGGCTTCAGAATTACAAGGGGCTTGCAGCGTTGTGTAAGGGTTGCAGGCTTTTCAATCTAGTTGAATGGGTTCGCAGGGTCTTGAACCCTCGTTTGAGGGAGCTTTACCAGGTGTTTTAGGGCATTTAGGAGCTTTTCTTGCCGTGCTGCAGTACATTTCAGGTTTGCGATTTCGATCTGCGGGCATCGGGGCTAGTACGCTCAACACGTGGACACTTGTGGAATTTTTTAGATGTTTATGTAGTCATCAAAGAAACCTAGTGTATCGATTCGCCAAGCCAAACAACCACTGCTAAGCCTCAATCCATCGACCCGGCAATCACACCCACACATCTAGATCCATGTGTGAGGTTGATGCCCGCCGTGGCATCGTCTCCACAAAGCGATATCCCTGAACCACCCTAAACCTTTGAGGCTACTGCAAGTAGCTCAAACGTGACCTACAGCAGGTCAAGCCCTTCCTGGAGCCCGGTTCCGTAGTAGCCTTGTACTGCACGCGCTGGAGCCGCTTCCTGCGCATGAACGATCAGGCCTTCTTATATCGTTAAAGTCAACAAATGAGTTTTGTGTTGCACGATGCTCGGTCTTTTCGTCGGATGGTTGGATTTTTTCAGGTCTTGCCAAGAGTTGCACGAACCGTTTTGACTTAAGGTTGCGGGGCTTCGAGGTTCCAGGGTGTGGGATGCGACAAGGTACGTTTTGGGCTGACGATCCGGTGAAGACGGACAGAGCAAGAAGAAAGACAGAGCGAGACGGCGGCACAGGTGTAGACGGGCAGAATGAGGCAGTGACAGACGAAGACGGAGAGGTGCAGATACTGCGTCAGCTGTATGGACTCTAAATCCCTGAGCCCGGAACTCTGTCTCTGTCAAGACTGAAATGTTCGTTCTGGGCACGATGTTCAACCGCTTGATTCGCTCAGGCGGACATGGATAGCGCTCCGACGGCAGCTGCAGGTATCACTTGCATGAAGACTTCAACTAAGGATTTTGGCAGACATCCGGTAACACGAGAACTTAGAAGCAAGAAGCGCAAGCACTAACATACCAGCGCACTCGCTAAAGCAGCTCGTTGGGCAGAAGTGTCACGAATAGACACGCCTGAACATGACTTTCTCACGGCCCCATATGCCCGGAATCACGCTACGGAGGCTACGGCCAAGGCGGCTACGGCAACGGCGGCTATGTCCAAGGCGGCTACGGCCCTTACAGCAACGGCCAGGGCGGCTACGGCCCTGTCGTCGTCGGTTATGGTAGCTACGGCCAAGGCGGGTACGGGAATGGCGGCTATGGCCAAGGCGGCTACGGCCCTTTCGGCAACGGTAACGGTAGCTACGGCCAAGGTGGCTACGGCAACGGCGGCTATGGCCAAGGCGGCTACGGCCCTTTCGGCAACGGTAACGGTAGCTACGGCCAAGGTGGCTACGGCAACGGCGGCTATGGCGAAGGCGGCTACGGCCCTTACAGCCACGGCCAAGGCGGCTACGGCCCTTTCGGCAACGGTAACGGTAGCTACGGCCAAGGCGGCTACGGGAACGGCAGCTATGGCCAAGGCGGCTACGGCGACTACAGCAGCGACCAAGAGGCTCCGGGCGGCTATGGCCCTGTCGGCATCGGTTACGGCAGCGGCGGCTACGGCCAAGGCGGCTACGGCGGCTTCGGCCAGGCCGGTCATTGAGATTTCTACATGTTTCCAGGAGAGTCAGTGATAGAGTACTGATGAAGTCGGGCTTCGGACTGGGCACCCCATCGCTCTGGCACTGCGGATTGCGGGCTATAAGAAGGAGTCTTGCAAGAAGACACACACAAAGAAGGCAAGAGAGTGTCACTCTAGGAATGGCAAACCCTTTGCAGAGGCCACCCTTCCAGATCCTGGGAGCTGGGAGCTCTTCACGGTTGTCGATGCCGGGAATGGGAAGATCGCGCTCCATAACGCTGTGCACAACCGTTTTGCTTCTTGGCTGTGGGGTAGCTTTCCTGTCTTTGGGGGACTTGAACTGATATCTGACCCATTGCAACATCGAAGATGGTGCATGTTCCAATGTGACTGAGCATGTAAGGTAAGGATGAACGGTGAGGACATGGAGACCAGTGTCCCCACGGCCAGCAGCGACTTCCCTGCGAATTCTGCCGGCGAGGCTTTTGCAGTGAGGTATTTCTGGCAGCACCTTGGATTTGGGGCTTGGGGTTTGTTCGAGTTCATGCGTTGTGTGTGTTGGGGTGTTGTTTTCTCTCCTGCTTTCCGGTCAAACAAGCCCGGAGACCCTGGAGAGAGTATGCCTGCGAGTTCTGAGCCGGAAGCCAACTTAGAACTGGGAGCATTGCCTTGCACAACACGTTCTTCAATCGCTACCTCCACATGACGGATCTGGCGGTTGACAGCAGCCGCGAAGTCAATGAGCAGGATGCCGGAGCTTTGGAACATTTTTCGGTATTGGACTCTTGAGGCGAGGATTTGAAGAATTTTCGAGACTGAACTTTGCAGACTGCCGCCTTTCTTCTGTTCCGTCGGATCTTGGCATGTCGGACCTCCACAAAAGTCTAACTTGGATATTGTTCCTAGTGGCAGGATCGACAGAGAGGTACCAGCATACGTGACTCCTTGAAATCAAGGCTTCAACAATAGCGCCTGCAAGAGGACTTCCTTGACGTTGCCCTCGAGCAGAGCTTCCAAATCGTGACGATCGCCGGAGCTTTCAGCCAGGTGGGCCAAAACCGAGACCCCACCCACCCCACACCCCACACCCCCACCCCCACCCCACCCCACCCCACCCCACCCCACCCCACCCCACCCCACCCCACCCCACCCCACCCCACCCCCACCCCCCCTCCCGACCCCCACCCCCACCATTCATTGGTCGGGGTTGAACAAAGTTACAACTACAGGTTGGGGTTGGGATTAACCAGAACCCTAACCTCAGGGTAGAGTTGGGGTTAACTCGAACCCTGAACTTGAGGTTGAGGGTCCTGGTTAGCCTCTCTAACCTGAACTCGAGGTTCGAGTTGGTCAGGGGATACGGGTTAACTCGAACCCAGGTTCAGGTTGTTGGATTTCCTCACCGCGTTGGATGCCTTGATGTTTTGGCACACACTGAAGCTGTAAGGAGTGTTTTGGTGTAGGTCTGTGACTGCACGTTCGTTTCGTGTCGTTTCGTTATCACTAAAATGTTTTCTTGAAACCTTCTTGTTTGTTGGAGAAGACGTATCATTTCTTATTCCTAATTTTCTCCGCTTTAAACCCCCCTGCAGCGTTTTCGTGTTGCTCTCTTCTTCTGATGTGTGGTCTTCACGGCTTAAGAGAGCGGGGAAGGTGTTGGGGGAGGGGCAAGGACGGGCCTGCTTGAATCCTTCTTGTTTGTTGGAGAAGACTTTCATTCTTGATTCTGAATTTGATTCGCTTTTACCCCTCGGCAGCGTTTTCGCACCCCCACCCACACCCCCACCCACACCCCCACCCCCACCACCCCCACCTCCCACCCCACCCACCCCGCACTCGCTGCCCGCTGTTCACATGTGCACACGCACAAGACCACACGCACACCCCGTAGATCAGAAGGCGCGTCTAAAATATTGCGTGCGGCACTGTGGAAATAGCCACAATTTAAGTCTAAACAGGTGAGCCGTGCGTACTGTGTTGTGCAGAATTTTGAAAAGTACACACGGTGGGTTTTGAAGAAGTTGATCGGCTCGATGCATCAGTAAAGGCAAGCGGGGGCGACGACAAGATCATCATACGGTGACATCAGCAGCCAGCTTTACTTTGAAACATGCGCGAAGAAAGGCGTCAGCCAACTATGCACCGTGCCGGGTCCAAAACATCGGGATTACGCAGCACATGTCAGAGCTTTTGGCCCTAGAATTGCGGCCCTGCGGTCCGGGAGCCGTTTCTGCCTGGTGCGCGCAAGATGTTAGCCGGACCAGAATTGCGCTGTCAGCCCGGACTGTTTCATTGTGGCGACTGCGGCGATTCTGATCAGGCGTCTTTTGGTTGCGAGCATCGGGGACCTTAGGCAGGACTTGGGCCTGTCATTGCTGTGGGGCCAGGGTTGCCGCTCATGGTGGCTTGGGGTTGTGCCCTAACTGGAAAACACTGCTGGTCGGGTCCAGGAGACCAACCTGCCTTCTTCGCAAGTTCGTCGCACTGGACGTGCGTGGGGCCTGCAGCTTCTCCTTTTGATCATCTGTAAAGGCATCCTGTTCCAAGCCCAAAGTTTCCAACACCAAATCTACATCACCAGTTCGGGGCTCTTCCTTGAGGAGCTCTTGATCAAAAGCTTCTGAGCACTTCTGCACCTCCGGATTTCGCTTTACAGATCTTGCATGTTGCGAAGCAAGGAGTAAAGGTGCTCCTTTGCCTCGTTGAAGGATTTTTTCCTGCTGGCTGAGTTTCTTGTTTCCCAACTGCTTAAGCTTCAGGATAGCTCGCCTCAGATTTTTCTTCTCCAGTCCCTCCTTCACCGGATTGGCAGGTTCCTCTGGCCCGGCATGCGAACAACCTCTGGCAATGCCTCTGCATTATCTTGGAGCAGGGTGACACGGTCAGGTTGCATCTCTTCATTTGCCTCCCGTAAGGCTGCAACGCCGGCCGGAGCAAGCTTCGTGCACGCTTCGGGTGGCAAGCTTCCTCACACCTGGTGAAACAAGTTACCGGCTATGGCTGGGACGTGCTACGAAGCAGGGGCCAGCGAGTTACAGCTAAAACGCGCCGCGCTACTCAATGCTGCGTCACAACACGTTTGGAGCCGAAAACTTGAGCCAGTTTGCCATGAGCTCACTGCGAAAGTCCGCAGTCGGTGACCAGGTGATTGCCAGGTCCGGAGTCTAGCTGACCGCACCGGTGGGAGTTGTTGGTACTACCTGCTGCAGGGACTCGAGGCCTCTACGCATCACTGACCTCCCTAGCTGCGAGCTGCTCAAGCCAAGCTCAGTCGCAAGCACATGAGGATCATCCGAGACCTTCACGAGGTTCGTGTTGTGATATCTGCCGCTACTCACTCTTCACCCTTGGGGAGTTGTCTCTCTCCTCACCGAATGGGGGGAGCGAGGCCACTTCCTGGTGTGGAATGCCAGATCAATACCCAACCTGAAAGATTCTCTGGCTGATCAAATGCACCTGAGGACTGCTGTATACACTGATTAGGCAGCCATGTTCAGGGATCCGCTCATTTCCTTTCTCAAAGGAGGTGGATGCTATGTGGCAGATGCAAATGAGGACGTTTGTGGGTCCGCTTCCAGTCTCACTGTGGTCCTTCATCTGCATTTAGGAACAACTCAGCCCACCTTTCACGATATGCTCGCCGGTTTGCAGCCGCAGCAACGTCCGTGCAATTGAACAGGCACACAGGAGTCTCTTTTTGCTACAGGCACACAGCTGTAGGTCTCTGCTGTACTAGAACCTTGAGCAACAGGCATGGATACATGCAAGTGATACGTGAAACAGACAGGCACTTGGATGTGTAACATTCAGTGTTTCACCCCGCCCCCCCCGGGCCCCCCCCTCTTTCTGTCCAGGGCATCCTTATGCTGCCGGTTTGCTCCTCTTCCTGTTCCGGTCTCTTTGCGCGTGATGCGAGTCGACAGATGTACCGCCCTGCCTTACGTCTGCTTTCCGGCCTGCTGCGTCTCCTCGTCTGCTCGACCCCAAAAAACCTGCTGACAGTGCTCGCAATCTGGCCATGCCCTCAGCCGCCGCCTGCAGACTACAAAAAGATTCGCCGTCTCCTGCGGGCCCTGCACATGAGAGGCCGAGGCGGGCGGCCTGGCGTTAAAAATATGGCGGGCGCTGCTTCACTTGCATATTGATTGTACTGAAGGAACATTTCAACGTTGCACCACTTTAGATTCGAAGCTGTCTTCCACTCGCGTATTCGTCTTGGCAGTCCGGCTCCTTTGCCGACGTCCACCCTCGCATAGCACTGGATTTCCGCATCCGTTTCGTTTTTCTGGCAGAATGGAACACATGATAACCCCGGCAGACACAAAGACGCTTGGCTCCACTTGTTTCCAAGACAGGGGAAAGTCAAATATAGGCTACTATAGGCTTCACAGCATAACGCACTCGCCCGTGCTAAGGTTCTGACAATAGGATTGATTCCAAAATAAACACTCTCTTCAGCTTCAGGAGAGGATATCGGCAGATTTTCAAGGCCGGCTGTCAGGCCACCAAAGTTCCTGTTCGTGTAAACCCTGGCAACACAGGATCTCTTCTCTGCAAACAAAGACAGCAGTCGCTCCATGGTCGGTGGACTACCCATGGCAGCATGGCCGCACGTAAGAGAGAAGACCGCTCATGGGTCTGGCTACTGCCAACGGACGCCCAGGTTACATCTCAACGTGGTAGCGGAGCTCCCGCGAAAGGGGAAGCTTCACACCGGTGGAGGTACCCGTTGGTACGCTCCACACAGGTGGAGGCAACCGGATATCCGGTGTGTTCACACAGGTGAAGGTGACCGGGGTCTCTCCGGCACACTACACTCAGGTGAAGACAGCTGGAAGAATAATTTTTCGGGGCTCGATCCGAGGACGGCGCAAAGAAAAATTAATTCCTCCATGGAAGTGAATCTTACGCGACGAATCATCGTCATCTCAATGAATTACACCGTCTCTCAGCTTTCCAGCAGGTGACCACAAAAGTACCGCCATCATATGATGGACGAAGCAGCTGGTTCGCCTATGAAGATGCGGTCGATGACTGGTGTGATATCAGTGAGCTAGCAGCTAGATGCTGAAAAGCCCAGTTTTGAGAATTCGGCTAGAAGGTGAAGCAGCAATCCACAAAAGGCTTTTCGACAGGGACCGCCTGAAGGATGCAACCAACGGCGTGAAATACTTCAAGAGCTTCCTGCGGCCGCTCTTCGTGAAGCCTGCAGCGAAAGTCTTTCTCTGCCGCTTCCAGCAGTTCATGAACTTGCACCACGGGAATGGAGATATGCTTCGTTGAATTACCAGGTTTCAACTCTCTGTCCAGAGAATGCAAGAAGCGTGGAACGACACCTATCTGCCGATCGTCGACCCGAACAACGCAGAGGTCAGCGCATTCATAGCAGAACTT